ACAGACAGACAGACAGACTTTTTTATTCAGTATCAAGTATTAAAATATACATAGACATTTTACCCGAATAAATGTATGAAGGCTATAATTATTGATCTATAGTAATTTCTATTATGTTATAATAAATTCGCCTATTTATTCTATCTATAGTATAGTTACTATTTAGTGCTTAGTTTGGGTAAGAAGACCACATACTATATTAATTCTGTATTAATTGTATGTGATCTTTTTATAAAGCAGTTGTGGACGCATTTTGCTACTGCTACTGCTATCATWTTGGGTGGACTCATAAATAGCAGAAACAACTCGTTCTCATTTAACAAAAGAGAATGGTTTATGTTTTTTATGTCTTTGAAGAGTTCTTCCCTTAGATTTGAGTACAGTTTACAGTGAAGAAGCAGGGGCGGATCCAGGATTTTTTCAAAGGGGGAGTTGTAGCATTGATTGAGGTACTTGTTTGGCGGGAAAGTAGCACAGGGTTCCCAAACGGAAGTAGGTCTTATGATAATGATTACTTGCTGCAGGCGAACATGGTTGTTTCAGGTCCCACACACGACGTATAAAAAAAAAAAGGAGATAAATGTGTTCGGCACGGCCCCTGTTTTGATAAAACTCGCGATGCTGTTGGTGTTGTCATGAAAAAAATAATGATAATAAATCACGATGGCTTTCATAGGGGGGGTTGCAACCCCCAAAACCCACCCCTAGATCCGCCACTGAGAAGGAAGTGCCTCTCATCTTCTACACTACATGGGCAATGGAAGCACCTCCTTTCTTCTGGCTTTTTTTTTTCTTTCTTTTTGTTTTCCCTTGAATGTCTTCCCTTTTCGATTTCAAGGTCATGATTACTAATCTCAATTTGGTTAATAATTTTCTGTGTTCAAAATTTTTAACTTCGATTAAATAATTTTCAAACGAGTAATCTGTTTTTACCAGGCGATATGTCCTTAATTTATTTTTTGGCCTGAGGGGCCTCTTCTAGTTTTTTATCGTTGAATAGTTCCCCTCGCCAGACTTGAATTTCTATATCCGTTAATCTAGTTTTAATTATTTTGAATGGATTCTGACTTGAACGAATATTGCAGTTTATGTCAAGTTTATGCCAGATATTCCCTAAGCTGCTTCGGTATAATAGAGATTTTACTTTATTTTTTATTTTACTTTACTTTACCTGGGCACACCCAGGGGACACCAAGGTGCCTGTGCCCCCCCCCCCCCCCCCTTCCCCCTGCAGTTAGATTGGTGCATAAGTTTTTGAGAGACTGGGGAGTGAGGGATGATTTGCTGAGGTTTGGTGATGAATGACTCATATGGTCATCATTATTATCATTATCATTATCATTATCATTATCATTATCATTATCATTATCATTATCATTATCATTATCATTATCATTATCATTATCATTATCAT